CCTCAACACACTCACCATAGCGCTCTGCCTATTATACATGCCACCAGGTGTAAATGTCTTGTCAATCACTTTTGATCAGTTGGTCACTCAGTTACCCATCTCTTTTCTTGCACTCGGCGTCTTCAACAGCCACAGTACTGTTTGGTGATGTAGCCAAGACAGATTACATGTGGTGGATCGTTGGGTGCATCAAATACCACCGCGACCTCTGTCTCATAAACATTGACAGGCCAACAAATCTAACTTTGCCTCGACTGGCATATCCAGCGATCAGCCCGTTGGCATGCTCACCGTGTTTGCTGTCCCGGGTGGCTCGGTCTATGGACGCGGACCCAGGTGGTAGCAACTATTTTCCAATTGGGCCAAAGCTGGATAGAGGTGCACAGCTCGGAGGCCGACCTCGGAGATGGAGCACACGAAAGGCAAACTGGGAGATTTTCACTGAGAAGTGTGATATATCCATCACTCCTGAAGAGAGTGGCAGTGCATCTTCACTCATGGACAAGTCTACGACAACGCTGGTAGCACTGGGTAATGGGTGTGGGCCTCGGACATCCACCCATCCGCGTAGAATCCTTATTTTTCTTAATGATGTATATTATTATGATACTTTTTTATTATATAATGATATTGTATTTATAGATATGTATTTATGTATGTTAAATATATTATTATATACCATCATATAATTATATTCCGCGCTGGACACCACAATGCAAAGATGCTGTGATCGAGAGAAACCACGCCATTAAAGAGTTCAACGAACTTCCAACCGCACAGCCTGTGCGGTTGGTCAGTGCGGTGTGCAGGTGCGGTTTATCAAGTCCGGGACTTGATAGCGTACAAAAGTGCAAAGGCCATAGCTAAGCGGGTTAGTTTATATGCCAAACAGACGCCTTCGAGGGAACATATGTCTTAAGCAAATAAGACACAGGTTCGGTTGAGAGCTTTCTGAACGATAACGACATGGGACATGCTATCCAGCGTTTGTCTGATACAGGGCGCTATGCGAATCGTCCCCATTGACTTTCATTAAGGTGGACACATTCTTATAAGTTACCTTTTACACAGTCCGAAATACATCGTGCACTGACATCCTCGAACAACGTTTCATAAGGTTCTGACTGCTTTTATAATTGATTCCCACGCCATCTACCCTTGCACGGTGTGCGATCGCTTGTTTACATGTTTTATTTCACACGGACAAACGAGGATTTTCGATCTTCATGGAGCGAAGCAATCGTCGCACCTTGGTTAAAGCCCCGGAAAATAGGGAAAAGATCCTCTAGTCTATCGTCAAATGGCTTTAGCATTGTGCGTATGCAAGCTGTTCGAAAAATGAATGGTAAACGCCTGTCTGATTTGGCACTTAGAAATGCATTCCATTCTTTCTAACTCCCAGAATGGTTTAGCAAAATTACTATACTGGGGATTATCAGGTCGATTTGGTCATGGCCGTACGTGTGGCATTTAGGCAAAGACATCTTTTAGCTGCGTCCTGTAACATCGAAAAGCCTATGGCACGACATGAAGGCACGGTATTTTGATGAAACTACGTAAATACGGTATAAGAGTGCAAATCTGTACGTTCTTTTCCAAACTTCTAGAAGCACAGACCTTTCCGCGTTTGGCTATGTCTGATTTGGCTATGTCTGATCGATACCCGCGGGAGAATGACGTTCCACAAGGCATGTTCCTCAGTATTGCGCTTTCCGCCATCAGGATAAATGATGTCACTGCGTGTCTCCTTTCACAGGTAGGGAGATCACTTTTTGTAGACGACTTCGCCATTCGGATAAGCATCCGGACTAGCACAGCTTCCGAACGACGGGTCGAGCTTTGTAGGAGAAAGCGGAGAAAAGCAGTGTGATGAATGAATTTCAGTGTTTTGTAGCCAAAAATATATGCATTCATCTGTAGAAAAACCAGGTCACTGCCAAGACAACATTGCGTTATACGGAAAAGAAACGCCGGCTAGATCTAAAGCAAAGTTTCGTGGCGTCGTTTTTGACAATAAGCTGACGTGTCGTCTTTACATCAAACAGCTTCCATACCGTTGTTTTAAAGCCCTGAATATTTAAAATGCCTTTACTTGGATGTCCTACGAGACTAACCGTGAAACACTTTGATTGCTTTAGAGGGCTCTTATTCGATCAAAGATAGACTAAGCGTGCCAGGTGTATGACTCAGCCTCGCAATCCGCGAAAAAGACAATGGAGAGGATACGTCACAACAAGATAAGAATAGCCACCGGGGCTTTTCTTATGAGCCCAGTGCGTAGCATGTAGGTGGAGGCCAACAAACCCCCTCTGTGTCTGCGAAGGAAACTAGTATCAACACGATATGTGACAAAATTGGATAATTCGCACCTCATCTCACGTGCCTCAGCACTTTCCTCATACGTCTTGCAAGTTATTTCATGTCAGGATGCCGCAGGTCTACACTGCCCATTGTCATACGTGCTAAACAGTTAGTCGGCCAACTTGGCATTGCGGTGGCAAGTTTTGCCTCTTGCCATAAACATGGCATTCCACCATGGTAGCTTCTGATACCAGAGTATGATTTTCATGTGTGTGGATCTTCCAAGAAATATATAACGGCAGACGAGCATCGCGCGGAGTTTTTGCCCCGTCTTTACACGGTGTATCCAGACTTTCGCCACGTACTCACTGATGGCTCAAAGTCAGACGCTGGTGAGGGATGTGGAGCGATCTCGGAGACATAGCATTCCACTGTTACCGCAGAGTTGCTCTTTATCCATGAACCTCTGCGGCTGGCGACCAGCGTGACGTGTCCGCATCTGCCATTTTTTTCTGATTCCCGAGGTTTCTGATAACGCCGCAGCATGCCAGTCAGGAGCAGAAATCGCTAAAAAGTACTGTCCGCTTTATTGACCTTGGAACAGAATGCGAGACGATCGTGGTCGCACGGGTATCTGGTCACGCCCAAAATACCCGGAAACACACAGGCTGATACCTTCGCCAGACAAAGCGTAGCTGGCGTTTGCGCAACGTGCAAGAAGATTACAGCATCAGACCCCAGGGATGCATTTGACAGTGATATTTAGGTCCGATGGCAGCACATTTGGGACGAAATCGGTAATGACATCACTCGGAGAGCAAGCAAGCTCAGAGTTATCAAAGCAAAGGTCTGCGAATAGGAATCGTCGTATCTAGAAAAGGGCTGACGACGTGGTGTTGTGTCGGTCGCGCCTAAGCCAGACTAACAAGACACACTCTTACCTACCCTCTGCGGAGGTTCAATCACTCTAACGAACATGAAGGACACCGTTGTCTGTGGCGCATATCTTTTTAATGTTGGAGCTATAAAATCGAAGGAAACCAACCTCAAAAAAATTACACCTCCCGAGCCGGTTTGCTAGGCGATTTCCGTCGATCTGTCCTCGAGCAGCTTTTCCTTTTCTGAGAGACATCGAATTCGAACTTTTGTTTTCACCAACCTGGACAGCTCTGCAGTAACACCTCACTTTACCCGGTTGTGCTCGGTTTTCACTTACACCGCACTGTTCTGGTTCGCTGCCGGAAAGTGTTCCGCGGGAGTATTAAAACCGCTGCTTATCTGTTCATGCTCAGAGAATTTGGCAAAGAACCTTAAACGTGGAGGTGGGTGCGACAAGCCAGTGCAGTCGCCGTGCCCTTTAAATCCAAGAACAAGTCGGGCATTCTTACTTGTTAGTACAAAAATTAGACTCGTTATCGAATAACTTAAGAAAGCGCCGTAACGGAACACTCGAATATCAGTAAATACCTCATGCTGATGGACAAATATGCAAGAACACGATGAGAAATGGCTTAAACACGAGCACATAACGATATTTGGCTTAGCGCCATCTCCGGCACCACTCGACCATTCATGAGAAGATTTAAGCACTACAAGTAGGGGGGGGGGGGGGGATTTCACGCGGCCTGTTTGGCACCACCCAAATGTCATGCAAGCTTTCCATGACGCAATCAGACAATGCCATATTGAGGAGAATATGTACTGTCCAGATAAATTGTGTTGTCTAGAGCAGCCGTTTCGACTCAGAAATATACCAATGCTTATCAGTGAGCTTCTGTCAGCATATATGTTGCTTGCTATTTGCTACCATGAAATGTGGAGCACTCCCTTCAAATGATGAAATTCAGGGAAGTGCCTTGAGTTACATCTTATGTTGTGTTTAATTCATATGCTTTACACATGAACTTTTGGTGTGTTAAGAACGTGTCCATCACAACTTGGAAAACTCACCTATGTAAAAAAATCCATTCAAAAACTGGGACACCTCAGAACTTAAATACCGTGACACAATGCGTATGTTTATGGGTGTATATTATACACTATATATATATAAATATAAATATATATATATATATATATGCATATATATATATATATATATATATATATATATATATCTGGATACCGTGAGCAGAATTCAGCAAAATCTGACGGCACTTTCAGCAATACCCACAACTTTTCGGCGGTGGTAACGACCTCCCCCCCAATCATTTTAAAAATCGACACACACGTGTCGTACCCATGGCCTCCTGTCATACGCCGCACTGAAAATAATGCAGCGTTTATGCGACACATGACGTTTTACTGAACGAATCAAATGTACCACAGAGAATTGCGCTAGGCACGCTATAAACCGTCACAAAAGATTTCTGTCACCAGAACATTGCTAGACTTTCCTTGCGAAAGCTTTGCTTTCATCCTCGTGCCAGGAGTGGTGCTTACGATGAAATCAGGTGGTGCTGGGCACCAAAAACAAGTGTTTGAGCCACAGAGATGAGTCACCAAGTCAAACGAGCGCCGGTGCGTTGTGGGAGAGTGGGTCCAATTAACATAAATACATTCATCACGTACCGCGTCACTCAGCTCGCCTCAGATGAAACAGACCAAGGCTACCCTCTCGGAGGTTGTTTTATGCACGGTAACAGCGCCGCATCTCGATCGCGGACATTCCCGCTCGCCGCGGCCAGCGGCGCCCACATTCAAATGGGAATCCCGTCCGCGGTGTACCGCTGGCTGTTGCTCATGATCCAGGGAATGTACTTGGACACTTTTGTGTAGATGCCCGGGTACTCGTGGTTTCCGCAGCCGAGGCCCGTCGAGACCACGCCGATCACCTGGTAGCGGCCGTCGGCGGCCTGGATCACCAGAGGGCCGCCCGAGTCGCCTTGACAAGCGTCCTTGGGCGTGCCGTCGCGACCGTTGGCGCACAGCTTCGTGCCCTGGAAGCCGCCAGGGAACTGCCTGTCGAAATACGGCGCGTCACTGTAGCTTTTCTCGCACTGCACCGCGTCTACCACCTGCAGCCGCACCTCGTGGAGCGCCTCCGGCACGCCGCCGCCGTAATCCAGCTGTCCCCAGCCGGCCAGATCGGCCTCGTGCCCAGTGTGGTCGACGTTCGGCGGCGGGAGGCAGGCTGGCCACACGCGCGCGTTCAGCGCTGCCGGCCGGGACAGCACAAGCAGCGCCACGTCGTTCTGCAAGCTACGGTAGTCGGGGTGCAGCAGGACTTGGGACACGCCGAAGTCTTGGTGGTCGCCATCTTGGGTGTGCGTTAGGTTGTACTCACCCAGCCGCACGGTCAGCTGGGGCTGCCGCCGACCGCTGACGCAGTGCGCCGCCGTCAGCACGGTGCTGCCAGTGATGAGCGTGCCGCCGCAGGTCCAGCGCGTGCCCTCGTCCGTGCGCTCGCCGATCAGCGCCATCCACGGCCACTGGCTCGGGATGGCCGGTCCGCCGCCGAGCAACAGCAGTGTCAACTGCAGCTCAGTCGTGGAGTTGGACGACACTCGGCCGCAGTCGGACTCCAGCTGCTGGAACATTTCCGATGCGTCCGCGTCGTCGGCGACGGCTGTCCGGTTCAGCTGGTCTCGGGGGCAGCAGACCTGTCCCTTGCAGCTTCGCGACGGGGCTGCGTCGGCTTGTTGGCACTTATCGGGTGTCACGCACGCCCCGTAACTGTAGGAGGTATCTAAGCAGACGTCCGAAAAGCTAAAATCGAGGGGCTGTCCCTGGACTAACACCAGCAGCACCACGTCAGCGGTAAACGAGGCGAAGTTCATCTTGCGTCCGCTCCCGTCCCCGTTTCACAGGCTTATGATTGAGATGGGTTTCGCCAAGAGGGGGGGGGGGGGAGGGGTGATATAAGCCGGAGAGCTCTGGACTCAGGGCCAAGTGACGCCACTGCCGGCAGGTGCCGTGCGCCGCGGAGCGACCACCGACTGTCAATACCGGTCTGACCTGTGCCGCTCTCGGCAAGGGGGCGTGTGCCGCCCCGCCACATCGGGCGCGCGACCAGAGGCGTCGCCCCCGCTCAGAGTCGCAGTCCGACATGAGCGTGGTGCCCTTCGTCCGTGTGCTCGTCCCAGGTCAGACGAGCCTAGCGTTGTGAACCAAGTCTGGCCGTGCACTAAGCAGTACAAATCGTCGAGGCAGGTAAAGATAAGCAAAGCTTTCAGATGCACGAACAGCTTGATTTGGGATTTACCGAGGGATCGGGTAATTCTTGTGTTATATTACATTGCATTGCACAGCATTGCATTTTGTCATGTCATTACACCGTTTTGATTTTCATTGCACATTCCTAGGCCTTCAACACGTGTGGCTTAAATAAGCCGCAACAACACGACACGCACAAATGCGACACAAACAGACACAAACAAGGGGCTAAAATGTCAGGTACTATGAACAATGTCATGCACACGGACCCTCAAAGTGGGAAGAGGCAAGCTCACAATGCCAGGTGCTGATGACACGCCCGTGATGACAGCTCGGTTGGCATAAGCTCGCTCCCATGATTGTTCTTGGGGTGAGAAAGAGATAAACGGATAGCACTGCGGTCGGTGTTTTGATAGTTGTAGGTTTTGATAGTTGACCAGACACCGTATAGTCTGTGGCTCCTCGTTCGTCAATACTTTATGCAAAAAGGGATCGATCGAAGAAGAACACAAGCTTCTTGGCACTAAGCCAGCAAAACTTTCGTGACACATCCGACGCATGGTCAAATGTAGGTCGTCCGTACATCACCCCACCTACTAAATTAGACACTTTCTGCAATTTAGTAGCAGTCGCGCTGTTCGCGTTCCCACAAACCTGAGCGCAGTAATGGACATGGGAGAACGCAGATGATGCGTGATACGTGACAGACCATTGGCAGGTGATACATGTTCGACATTTGGTAGAGCGACGAGCATACCAAAACAACGAGGAGTGACATGCAGTTCCGTCTACGTGCTTGTCCTGATCCGTTTTCATAATGCGATTACGTCGGGCGACTAATATCCTCACGTCGTCGCCGCAATCCCGATGCCCGGCCGTGTTTCGCATCGGGTCTGGGCCTTTCCATTCCTGCTGACCACCCATACGCGGAAATTCCGTCGTAAAGCACCCCTACACCTGCCAGACCGGTATCAGGGTCAAATACCGCCACCCGTACCAGAATCAGATACCGGCCTCCGCACCAGGTCCGGCGTCAGGGTTAGACACCTCCATCGGCACCAGACCGACACCAGGATCAGTCACCGGTATCCGCACCAGCTCACACACCGTCATTCGCACCAGGCCGGCACCAGGGTTAGACACCTCCATCGGCACCAGACCGACACCAGGATCGGGCGCCGGTATCCGCACCAGCTCACACATCGTCATTCGCACCAGGCCGGCACCAGGGTTAGACACCTCCATCGGCACCAGACCGACACCAGGATCAGGCACCGGTATCCGCACCAGCTCACACACCGTCATTCGCACCAGGTCGGCACCAGAATCAGACCACCCTCGGCTGATGACGACACTGCCCGCTGCTCTGTGAACTGAAAGATAAGTCGACTTAAGTTACAAGATACGTCTTAGCTTCTAGACAGATAGCTTATATAGATATCGATAGCTTCTAGCTAGATAGCTTCCGTTTGTGCAGCAGCAAAAACTAGGGACCATCGTCGAGGACCGCACAAATCATAATTAAGGCTAAGCTTTCCACTAAGATAGGAACGTTTTTCACTTTGTGCCTACCCACCACACATTAACAGGTGACCATGAGTGTCCACCTCTGTCCACCCTAAACCGCAACCCGACGTTAATGCTGGCATTGGTAACTAAAACCTTTAAGGCCGTGGCACTTTTGCTAAAGAATGTGAAACTTACTACACACACCAAAGCTCAAGCGCAACCGTAGGGGTGGGAAGTTCACCATTAATCCTGTTATGATAGCGTCTGTTAGTAAGAGGCAACTGGAGGCACCGAGTTCCAGGATGACAACGGGCGGGTCGCTCACACCTCTACCTAATTAGAAGAGAACAAGTGTTTGTACGCTTGCTCCGCTGCGCTCAGTGAGAAAACGTAGAATTTTGAATTATATATTTTTATAGTTTTATTGATGGCTATAGCTCCTCTAGATGCTGATGAGTTGCAAAACGTAAAAAACGGTCGGAAATGGCCGAACCCAGCCTCCTGGCTCGTGCACGCGCAACACACAGCACGTGCAACAGGGCAATTTATATGAAGTGATTATTGCACTGTCGATTCCGTATCAATGCATACTTCTACCGAATGTGTTCATGCCCTGGGTGCCGAGATGTGGCACAAAGCATGTAAACCCGCGGGAGAGAGCAAAAGCCATCTTCCTGGCTCGTGTGTGGCCGACACATGCAATGTGCCACCCCGCACTTGTGACACCATGGGATTTCCCGGTCAATCAGTGGGCCATCATCACAGCTTGAGAAATTGGTCGCGCGGGCGGCTCCTTAACGTTATGCGTCGACGTCACAAAGTCGCACTGGTTTGAGCGACAGCGTTGCATGGCAACGTCGACTGCGTCGCTTGGAAAGCAGTAATCACGCAGAAATACTCTTGTCTGTTATCGTGCGGCGCGGCATCAAGTTTGTATTGTCACGTGGTCTCGGGGCGTGCTATTATCTCGCGAGTGGGAGAAGTTCGAAGTGGTGTGCGAGCTTTGGGCAAGAGTGGGCATCAAAGGCGGTTTTTTTGGCAGCAAGATGCCATCCTGTGAGGCGGCCTCTTGCCAACATGTTAAACAGCGCAATGAGGGCGCTTTATTTTTTTTACACTTCTGAAAAAACGACCCAACTGCCATGAAAACATGAGTGCACCGTTGCTCTTGGACTAACTATACATGTGGAGAATGCGGTAATCTGATCTGAGCATTTCCAAGGTCATGACTGATCCTGGCCATCCTGGCCATTTAAGACCAGTCCCAAACCCAATGTTGAGTGCTTTCGACCAGGTGCAGTTCCTTCCATGCAACAGTACATCGCCGGAACGCCGAAGTGAGTATGTGTGTGCTTAAAAAGGAAAATTACCTTCTGTTTTATGCAGAGATCTTTCAACCCGATTCACAGTGCAATGCATGCACAATCTATGCCTCTCTGTGCAGTTTGTAGACTACAATACGAGATTCAAACGAGACTTTCCAGCCATAATCTTGTTTACAAGGTGGGGCCTGACTACCACACAAGTGGCACAGCCATCCATGCTGCACGTGCGAAGGGGTTGAGTGTCAGGGGCGTAGTCAGGGTTTGCGACGGGGGAGGGCAAGTTTGCACGAGCGAGTCCCAGCCCCATTGACAACACATCTATGCACTGTGAACTGACTAACAAACCCCACAACCGCTAATAGGTACAGTACCTAGCGCATCAATGAGCTACCAATATTGGTTTGCTCTGGTGCCTTCAACATTTCTTTCAGCTGTGTGGCGTACATGTTCGCCCGCCTATATGCGAGTCTTGTTACTAATGAACCACTTTTGGACTCTTCGTGTCACTGTCCATGCTAGGGGACAGTGAATAAAAATAAACCAATAACAATAAAAAGCTATTTGCCTGGTCACCAAAGTTCGGGATTACATACAGCAATATCATGGTAAAAAACTGCTGCTGTGCCTAAACCATACCTTGAACCTCGCGAGCAGAGACGAATGGGGGGGGGGGGGGGAGGGGCTCGGAGGGCCGCGCTGTTCTCGGATATTTTTGCGTCGGAAAGCAGAAATGGCGGAGCCACCCCCCTGGGGCAGCCGATGCACTGAAATGGGACCATGAAACGGGGACATCCAGACAAATCCGTGGCCATGGCCAGGAGCTGGAGATATCAGAGTGGTGCACGCAGTGCGGTGCTCGTCGGCCGTTGACCGTCCGTCTTACCCGCTCGGATTAGGTCACACTGGACCACAACAAAGTGGTTGTGTATGAAAACAAGCATGCGATGACCAAATAAAGGGCATGTCCTGGTCCAGCACGTTTTGCTGTCGCAACGAGAAACAACGCTGGTGACTCGTAATAGGGTCTGATTAATGCGCCTGTTAGGTACGTGGAAATGACTGTGTTTCGTTGTGTCGCAGATCTAAGATCACGCTGTGATGGAAGTGGCGGGGCATGCGGACGATGTGGAGGCCGCCTGTCAGCAAACAGTCGCGAGGCCTCCAGTGCCCGCCCTGAAAGAATTCGGCGTCAACGACGGGGTCAATGAGTCGGGCGAAGACAAACTCCATGGCAATGACGGCGAGAGGACCAAAAATAGCCCCCGCCGCGGCGACGAGATGGACGAGGTCAACATCGAGCACGGGGCGCTGACCCTCGTTGCTGGCTTCGTGGCGGCCAAGTGCAAACACCTCGATCCAAGTATGGGCTGTCGACCCGAGAGACACCACCCAGCTGTGTGCCGGACAACTGGATACATGCGATTAGCAAAGGTGGTCTGATGGTACCGTTGCCGGCCTGGACGAGCGTTGTCGAGGCTTTCAAGATCGTGTTCCAGCCAGCGATGGGCCGAGGCATGAACTGAGACATCGGTATCGTCGACCGCCTCACAAAGGTCCTGCTGAGAAAGATCTGCGCTGGGCAAGCGGATTGCTCGGAAGCTGGTGACGACGCGCATTCATTTGCGCCTCGGATGGCTTAATCAGGCTGGGGCTGAGCGGGCTGCTGCCAGGCGCGCAGCCAAACAGGTGCGACATCAGGCGGACAGCGTTAAGTGAACATCGTTGTGCTTCCGCGAGCATACGTAAGTGTCCTTAAGTGAGCATCGTCATGCATTCTTTGTCTTGCATGCTTGTGTGTCTATCTGAGGCATAGACGGTTTCTTCGCAGATAAACGTTTGAGTTGTTTCGGATTGGTAATTTTGTCGCATGACCGTATATTTTAGCTGAAAAATCTATACTTGTGTCCTCCGCCCCTCCCTCCCCCCCCCCCCCCTGTTTGCTTTGTGCCCTCGCCAAGTGTGCACAATGAAGTGCATGCTGGGCGCAAAAATCGTTTTAGTAAAATACGGTGAAATATGAGTCATACGTGTGTTTGATGAACTGGCTGCATGGCATGACGGATATCATCTTGATTAACGCCATGCGCCACGATCTCCGGAGGCTTCGTGTCACAGTTGACGCAATGTGCAATGTCCACAATGTCCTTATGTTCTATCAGGCAGCATACTACTTCCGTCGTCTCAAACAGCCTCCATCACACACCAGTGCAACCCGGCGCGTCATGATGCATAGTGCTGAGGTTCAGCGGGACAGTTCGGATGGTGATCCTGGTGCCGGTCAGTTCCTCCTTTGGCAGTGGCTGGACCTTGGGCAGGCTCGCCAGCTTGCATTTAAGCAGCTGCAGGCTGGCCAACTTCAATACATCGCCATAGACTCAATGTTTGGCATTCTCAGCAAGTGGAAGTGCCATGGCACACAGACTCCTGGTTCCTAAGCCTATGTTCGCTGTTATGCACCCAGCGTGGCAAAAATCCCCATTTCCTTTTTCCTCATCGTACTTCTTGAAGCGCCCTGTGGCCATCACCAGATGCATTTGTTAGTAGGTGCACCAGTGTAGCAGACGCGAAGATAATGCAGGCGGAGCGGTGATACCAGGCTGCGACTTTGTGACGTCACTGCAGTAGTGAAGGGAAAGTGCCGGAAAAATCCCCGGATGATCATACATTGTTACATAGCCTTGCGGTCAACGGCCTATTGCAGCATGCCAGTCTCGTATTACGTCGTGCCATAGGAGCGGAAATCCCGCGTCATAGAGCGTAAGAAGTCGACGAAATCTGCAAAATACATCGCCATGGCTAATGTGCATTCACATGACGCGTGCAGCACCACATCGTACACCTTTGAGTAACCACCCGTTAGATCGCTTATCGAAGCATGCCAGTCTCGGCGTACTTTTTCCCTGGGTTGCTGAGATGTCCCAAAACGTGTAAACCCGCGTCAGGGGCTCAGGGGCTGTACTGAGAGTCGTAGGCGTAGGGATTCTATAAAGTGTCAGGGGTTCAGGAACTCAGGGGCTATACAAAGTGTCAGGGGCTCAGTCCTCAGTGTATCATAGATGAGACACTGATATCGTAGGTGAGACACTGAATGAAAAAAACACAGACTGGGAATGGCCTTTATGGCCGAGCGCATCGGACGTTGCACAATGTGGGCTACTATTCTCCGCATGCCATCATAGGGGAAGCAATCCGGTCACGAACGAAACTGGTAATCTGGCGACCACAAAGCAAATACGTAACGCACCGCAAGCAGCATGGACAGACAAGGATATGCACGGAAATACTCGGCGAGAAACCACGGCGACTGGTGGGACGGTTCATGCCATTGCAGAGAATCTATGAGCTCTATCAATACATAATGATGTCACATGGCTTTAACGTTAGTAGTGTGTTTCATATCTATGTGGGTGGATCAGAATTTGGCGCATTTTTACTAAGCGTGCTACAAGAACTTGCGAGGTGGGGAGGCTACCATGCGTCGCGAAGGGGGCAGAGGGTGTTATTTGTACGAGCGAGTCCCAGACCGATTGATAGCACCAATGTATCACGAACAGACCAGCCGACCGCACACACGCCAAAAGAGACAGCGCTTGGAGTGTCAGTGAGCTCTCGGTGATGGTTTGTCTTGGTGCTTGAACAAAATTGCTTCAGATGTGTACTGTGCATAGTCATTCGGCTATGCGTTAGTCTTAGTACAAGTTACCGCTGTCAGGCTCTAATTCTCGCCGCCCATAGAAGTTTACACAATACTTCAAACCAAAATAGTTTTCCGGATCACCACATTCCCGAATTATGTTCAGCAATGTCGTGGAGAAAAGCTGCACTGAACCTGATGGGGGGGGGGGGGGGGGGGAGGGCATGAGGTGCCATAGAACCTCTCCCTCCACCCGCTTGGGGGCGTCGCTGATTGTAACCACTCTTTCCCCCGAAAACAAAACTCATGACGGTCAAGCTTCCAATTCATCGATGAGCACAGGAGTACCAGTGCACTACCACTGGTCCTGTCCTATGGAACGCACCGTGACTATCGACGACTGCGACTGCCTGCAGGGACGCCGCGCACAACTTCGTCCTCACCACGGCAAGTGATACGCATCGCTCCTGGGTCTCTGTTTGCTGTGGTGAAAAGAAGCCAAGAATCAATAGCTCCGAGCCTCCCGGTTAGTGATAAAAACGGAATGCATTGCTATGACGATGTCGTCAGTATTGGCCTGTCTTGCTGCGAAATGACTGCTTTTTCTCTAAGCCATTTCACAATCTTCCTGAGGTATGACGACTACTGGGCGTCTTCCGCCCGACCAACGGCGGAGGACAAACGCAAGTACGCTGAGTCAAATTTTGCGATAAAAGTGTCCGGTAGTTCGCGAAAGCCGCCGCCATCTTGGCAAAGTCAGGCTGCCTCTGCGGGTTGTCTGCGTACGTTAGAGAGGTCGCTATTTGGTGTCGATCGTAGGCACTTTGTTTTTGGGCTTTCGTTGGATATCGCGCGCGGTAGTACGACCTCTGCAGGCCTTATATATTCCCCAGTTGGCCATGGATGTATGTACATTTTTGTTGATATAGTCAATGCAATATGTTCGGAATAGGCCTTGATATTATGTCACCTCCAGGTGCAACGATTTTTCGGATAATGTTGACTTCAAAAAGATCTGTTTTGTAAATCTCTGAAAATTGTTCCGAGAATAATTCCAGAGACCGTTAGTATAAATCTACAATCATATTTCACCTAACCCCTCGCTTGAAACCTAAAGGCTAATAATTTGGTACCTACTAAGGGCATTTCCGGTTACTTGACAGAGGCTGTTTTTCGTGAAATTCTTGTTCAATTTCCGGTGCAGTAGTAAATCTCACTAGAACCGTACACTGAATAGTAGTGTATATGGATAATATATGATGGAAAACTTTCTCATAAAATTTATTGTTGGACATTTTCTTTAAAACTTTTAATTAAGGCAAATATTGGATGAATTTTTTCACATGAAAGCCTAACGGTTGGCGCAGTCAAAATGTGGTAGCAATTTTGGCAGCGCGTCCTTCTCGAGGAATTTCCGGCCGTGTTTGCCGCTGACGCCACTCCCATTGCGCCGGGAATTGCCCTTGTCTTGCAATATTTGCAATTTAACGCCAAAAATCAACGAAAATGCCGAACCCTAAGGTTTTCTTCGACATGGCTGCCGATGGTGCTCCGTTGGGACGCATCGTAATGGAGGTAAGTGGATTAGTGACAGCGAGAGAGAGGTTTGCCGGTACGCCGGCTACCGGGGGAATTCTGCCCATGCACTGTCCTTGCATGTAACTTTTTGTTTTGACATGTCAGTGAATTGTATTTGTGTTGGAAAGCTAGATAAGTTAAATGAAGGAGACATGAGTGAGATAAACGCTGGATATTTAAGTATCCCCGCGCTGCGCCCTACGTCCACGCGACTTTGGAGCGCTGACGCCCACGTACAGTGAGCTGATGGGACGAAATTGCGGCGAATGTTTATCCTGTTTTTTTTTTTAATAAAAAAATTCCATGAGGTAACCAAGCACAATTGCCGTCACTGCGCGAATCCTCAAGATATTGGCTTTGACGTGCCACAACACAGTAATCATTGTGGAGATATATAGCCATCCTCATGGAGAATATGCCCTGACATTCTTGCAGTGGTGGTAGTCCAGCCTGACTGTATTATTCAACAAACATTTTGTAGCCTGATCAGGCTGGTGCCAGTCTGCAAGTAATCCTTCCATGATGGGTTACTTAGATTCATGAATGTCCTTGTTACATCTGATCTCTTTTCATGTGAAAAATAAAGCACAGCCAAAATGTATGAAATCTCAAACAAAATTGTTGAGGCATTGTTTTGTTTGGAGTATGTCTGAAATCAGTTGTATCTAAATAAATCATGAGGCAGAAGCACTCTGGGCTGTAATTGGTGTTAATCCAGGCTGCAAAACATTTTATCATTGTGAGGCACAGTTGGCCACTGTCAATGCGGTTAACCTTTTGCTCTCATGCATCAGGCTCAGAATGTAGCATGTTGCCCTTAATTTTAAAATTACTGGAGGTTAAAAACACTTTTCAAAAATGTATGGTGATAGTAAGATAATTTTAGGTAAAGGTTTCTTCTCAGTATCACATTTTATGCCACATATTGGCATAAGGTTGGTGGCATATCTGAAGTTTTCTGGCACCGCACTGGAATTCTTGAGCCCTGGAATTCATGCATGTGATGAAATTTTTGCTATACTGCACTGGAATTTTGGCCTTTATATCACTGTGCTGGACATCTTGAGGTAACCAGTATGATATGTATCTTTTTCAGTTTGGGTGCTAACTTTCAGGCAAAGTGAGTGCTTTGAGGAGCCCAGAGAGGTGCTCCATGTTTTTGGATCACTTCCTTTTGAAAATTATGATGACTGGATACCCTTCATGTGTATGGGAACTGCCTTTGTTTGGGAACTGTTTGCAGAATTATGAGCTACATATCTAATATTTATTAGTATGCATATATTCATATATATATATATATATATATATATATATATATATATATATATATATATATGTGTGTGTGTGTATATATGTGTGCTGTCTTGGTTATGTTGTGATGATAATTAGCCACAAATATTGGATAACATTCTAGAGGTCAATGGCAATCCACACCAGTATGAAGCAGCATGCCATAGTCACCTCCTCTGTAAGAGAACAATATGCAGTGTTGCCACATAAACATGAAGAAGATTGTAACAGTACCTAAATATTGTTCTTAGCATTAACATCTAGAATTTTAACATCTTGACAATGCCCCTCATTGGGTTTCCCTGCATGGTGAACAATCTGTCATGGCTAATGATCACACTGGTCCCTACAGTTGATGGGCCCACTTATTGGAATTTAGTTACATTGATTCATCATGGGTCTAGTATATCTTATATTTGAATTTAAGTATTTCTTTACATTAATTATTCATTTATGTGAAGCAAAACTTATTTTCAAAATTGGTCGGGTTCAAATGTGTTAAAATGAGATCTTCCTGTTTTTCATTCACTTCAGCAGAGCATCATGACCATGTGTGAGACCTGAGTGGTGACTGCCATGATTGAAGTGACAGCTATTCCTATGTTAGGTATGAGGTGTTGAAATTATGGTAAAAGTAAGCTGACAGCATTAAACATCATGCAGGATGTGGGACTGTGGCCCGATACACATGGAGTCCCAGTTGGAGGTTTTCCTGGTCCAAATGAATTAAAAGTGAATGTCAAGCTGTAGATACAGTGAAACAAGCTCAAATATAACTTTGGGTGTACTTTGTGAGTGGAAGACTGCTCTATGCAGTACAGATTGGTAGTAAATATGCTCAATGAATTATGGTTTGATTACATTGCCACACCTTGCACAGCGTTGGTTGAGAGCTTATTGACAGCCGTTTTGTCTGGAAATGGCACTCATGAATGTCAAACATGATTGCCTTGATAAATAGATTGTCTTGGCTTTGATTGTTACATGGTTTATGGGATGGCAGGCTTTGAATTACATTAATATGGCATGAATGCTAAGGTGGCTTTGGAATACTCTTCCTGACATACCTTTCTCCATTTTTGCTGGCATATAGCTCAAACTAGGAGGGCTTAGGTCTTAGAGGGAACAGGAGTGTGAACAGAACTGGAAGGTCTTCAAGATAGCTATTTCAGTTCAAAACCTGATGTAAATGTTGAATGCTCTCTTTCAATGGGCACATGCCAATTTTTGAGTGGAAGAGAAATGAGGTTTGGAGGCAAGGTTAGTCATGCCCAAGTCTAGTTGGTTCCAGCGAATTCCTTAAACCTTCACATGGATGTGAGATGACCATGATTTTTTGCTGGAAGGTGTTTGCTCTTTCATCTTGACACTGACATTTTCACAGTAAGAAATTTGTTTTGGGCAGTTTTTATATCATCTGTTCTGAAGTTTGAAGAGCTTTTCACACTGATATGGCCCCTAATACTGATTTAGTGGAGGGTTTTTCTAGCATAGCTGTGATGCATATTGTGGGATGCTGATGTGTTTGTGTCATTATTTGATAATGTCTTTGAATACCTGGTGTGACTTCTATTAAATCAGTTGGCATTCTTTCACAGCGAAATTGGAATGTGCGCAAACAAACCTGGAGAGTATCTAAACTTTTGTATTTAAAAAGGATTACTTGTGCACCCTGGGCTGAATGGAAAAGAGCAACAACAGGAATTAATAGTGTTCTAGGAATACCTTTGAGAGGAGCTCTTGTAACACATGACTTCTAGTCATGTGACTTGACTTGGGAATAAAAAATTCACTGGCTTACACCATTATGTTGATAATGGACAGAGAGAGAGAGAGAGAGAGAGAGAGAGAGAGAGAGAGAGGGGGAGAGGGAGAAGGGAAGAGGGAGAGGGGAGAAGGGAGAGGGAGAGGGAGAGTGAGAGGGAGAAGTGAGAAGGGGAGGAGGGGAAGGAGGAGAGTGAGGAGGGAGAGAGGAGGAAAAACATGTGTTTCCGTTTTCGCGGTGCATCCGCTGGAATTGAGCAGGGATTAGCGTGCCAACTCAGTGCTGTTGACGTTTACAAGTGACACCTGACAGCGAACGTAAGCGCGGGAGGAGGCGGCGCCACGGCTGCACTGTGACTGGTCGGCTGGTGCGTGGTGCTGACGCCGCCTGTTGCCCGCAGCTCCGGTCTGACGTGGTGCCCAAGACGGCCGAAAACTTCCGCGCCCTCTGCACTGGCGAGAAGGGCTTCGGCTTCAAGGGCTGCTCCTTCCACCGTGTCATCCCCGACTTCATGTGCCAGGTGCGTGGCGTGACCGTGGTCGCGGGGCCGGCGCGGGCCTCGGCTGACGGGACCCCCGCGGTGCTGGCCTGTGTCACGGCCCCGGGGACGAGGTCGGTTCTGAGCGTTGGCGGGTCTGGAGTGAGTAGACATATTCGTGCCCGGATGTGCGTGCCCGCGGGTGCTGGAGCAGGACGTGGCGTGGCGTGCGGAACGGTGACGTTCAGGACCGAACGCCGACTGACCGGAAGCGCGCCGCGGGATCCGATGTGGCCGGATGTCTGCACGACGGTAGCAGCCCCGCCTGGCTGGGGTGTCGGCCGGCGGTGCGCGCGCGTGATGGCGTGCCTGCGGTCGGCTCGGTCCGCTGCTGTGTGTCCGTGACTAGGCCGTCTCGGGCGCCGGCCGGCCGCACCCGCCTTATCTCACGCGATCGCGCACCGCTGGACGGGGCGTCTGCTGTGCTGGTCTGGTCTGCAGACTGTGTCGGCCGGTGCAAGCGCCGCCCGCCGTCCACTGTCGCGCGCTGTGCAAGATCAGATCGGTCCGGCGCCCACGTCTCGACAGGCTGAGAGTGCTCCCGACAGGCGGGCCGGTAACAAACCTGACCACTTCACAGGGCGGCGACTTCACCAACCACAACGGCACCGGCGGCAAGTCCATCTACGGGACCAAGTTCGAGGACGAGAACTTCACCCTGAAGCACACCGGACCCGGCATCCTCTCCATGGCCAACGCCGGTGGGTGGGAAAGCTAGTCATTGTGGTCTACCTGGCAAGAACTTTTGGTCTCATACTGCCCTGAAGTGTGCATGCTGATGATGGAGTCATTGTGTTGCTGTTGTGGAGGAGCGTGTCAGCTCGTCCAAACATGTCCTGACTGCATTTGTTTCCACCAGGAGTGACTTAAACTATTACGTAAAATAAAATGTACAGGGGTAGTGTGATTTGGTACTTTGCTTCGGGCCTGTTATCTTTTTTTAATGCTGCAAAGCAGTGCAGTTGATATTTTTGAAGCTGCGGCTTATTACATCGTGAGTTCTAACACCTATTCCACGGGGTCCCTATTCTTAGCATCGCTTGTCTGCCTATGTAAGAAGTGTGTTTCTTCCGCCTTCGGCAGGCCCCAACACCAACGGCAGCCAGTTCTTCCTCTGCACGGTGAAGACGTCCTGGCTGGACGGCAAGCACGTGGTGTTCGGCTCCGTCTCCGAGGGCATGGACGTCGTCAAGAAGATCGAGAGCTACGGTCAGTTTGTCTCTGTCATCTCGAGTGTGTCTGGTTCCGGCGGAATAGGCACCTGAATGGAGACGTATGCCAGCCAGTTTTCCAGCTAGTTTTTATGACTATGCGCCATTATTTTGAAGTGAACTGCTGCATTGGGCGGCATGTTGTCTTTGATATACAATAGGCTGCCACGGGTGATTATCAGCAGCAATATTTAACTTGAGATAATCTTACTTCAGTGCAATTGCCTATGTAGTGCTATTTAGTTCGTGAAAGCTGGAAGGAGTATGCTCAGTGGTGATACAAACATCAAAGGTAGTTGATATTCTGTGACATATAGCACTTCCTGCACCAAGCCTTAGTTCGAGTTAGGTATCGAGTCTTACAAAACTTTCCACATGGGGGCGGCAGTTGATGTTTGGGACGCCGCAGTCAGGCCGGCGTCACCCTGGCATGTGGCCGCCCCCGCCGCCTCGGCGAGTGGCCGTCGCTCAAGAGGTGACTCATGTTTTATGCGCTGCGAGGGCCTGGACAGTTGGGTCTCCTTAGGCATGGCTGTAAGCGTGTGCTCGGGCATCACAGCTGGGTTGTGGTGCTTCGAGTGCGCATGCCGTCTGGCTGCCAACGCTGTCCCATGCCACGTGACGCCGCCGCCCCAGCTGACGCCGTGTTTTGATCGGCAGGCTCCCGCGACGGCAAGACGACGAAGAAGATCGTGATCCAGGACTGCGGCCAGTTGTAATGGCCGTCCGCCTGGCGTGTTGCGCTCTGTGGCGGCGCGCCGCCCGCTCTCTGGCGCGCCGTCCGGCCGGCGGGCCCGCTCATCCGTCATTGGTTTGGCCCGGCGCGGCGTGTGACGCCGTCCTCAGTCGGCCCTCCTGGTCCCGTGCTCGCCCCCCGCCGTGCCTAGCACCGGCGCCAGTCAGGCGGCCGCGCCAGCCGTGGCGCCGCCGCAGTGGCGTCTGTTCCGCTCTCCTGTTGTTTCGGCGCCGCCGGCCGCCGCCAGTTTGTGTTGCCCGCCGGCCGACTGTCTGACCCTCTGCTCTCGTTACTCAAGCATTCCACGCTCCGGCGCGGCTTAACGGCCGCCGTAGACACGCAGCGTAGGACTTCGTTTAGGGTGTACTAATCGGCCTATTCGGAAATAAACACTGCTTGCCTTCCTCGCCGCCCTTTGATCCCCACCGAAGTGGTCCGTGCGACCGGAATGCGCTGCACGCAAAGGACCGAACTGGGGAGGTTACGGCGGGCGCCAGCGACACCGTCGATTCTGGGCGCGGTGGCGAGGCGGGTCATGCCCGCGCTGCGTGCTCGTGCTCGCGTCCGTCGCCGCCGTAACTGCCACGTGACCTGTGGGGCGGGGCATATCGACCGATGCTGAGGGGCAGCGAGGTGGCCGGGCAGGCCTGCCGCGGTCGATGCGGCGCTCATTGGAGGGCGCGCACCGGCAGCGGGTGGCCCGCCGGCCCGCCAGGCGCGCCGCGTCCGGTGCGCTGCGTGTTGAGCACGGCTGCTGCTGGGGACAGATCAGGCGGACGAGGAGCGCGGGTCGTGGGACGTGCGGAGACGCCGGGGCTCGCTGGTGCTCGACGGCGCGGCTGGCCGGCCGACCGCTCAGGTGGTCAGAGGGCGCGGGGGAGGAGGGAGGGGGGGGGGGCGTACGAAGGCGCCGGGGCTCGCTGGGCTCACGGCCCGGCTGCGGCCGAACTTCGGAGGCGCGCGCGACCTGGCTGTGACGGCCCTCAGGCCTCGCTCGCCAGCGGCCGCTCAGACACCGCTCCAGCTGGCTGTGACCCGGGCATGTACATGTATCTCGCCATGCGGAGAAGTGCGGATAGGTCGGCGGAACGAATTATTGATATATTATACTGCTTTGCGACATCACTCTGGCTGTGAACATATAGGCAAACTGACAGTAGTTTGTGCATTGGCTATACTCTTGGTGGTCACAGATCATGGTACCCACTCGAGTCTGCGTCTGCGCCACAGATGCCGCTCGTGCAAGGCTGCTGCTTTCAGTCGGCCGCGACTGGCCGCCGTCGCTGCGGCGGAGCGACCTTGGGACGCGTTTCTGGCGCGCCTGGTTAATGCCCTCACCACCACCGTCGGTATCCTTAAAGGGCGGGCCGCTGGACGGGCACTGGCTGAGCTTCGTGACGTCATCACGGGAACTGAGGCCCCACCGTAACGCCATCACGGGAGCCGGAGCCCCACCGTGGCGTCATCAGAGGAGCCGAAGCCCCGCTGTGATGTCACCACGAGAGCCGAGGCCCCGCCATGGTCTGGCAGCTCTGGCACGTCGACCCACTGTGACGTCATGGCACAGGTGTCTGACGAATCGTTCCGGGTCCGGGACCATCACCACCGGATCCGCTGGTCACCGAATCAGCTGACTCGGCTGTGGTCAGCTCTGCAGGACATCAGGACCATTGGCTGGCGCGGATCTTGGGACGTCAGCACACCACCTTCCTCGGCTGCAGTCAGACCGCAGGGACGCAGATCGGGGCGATTCTGCTCCTGTGACGTCACGGCCCAGCCGGCTAGCTGGGCTGCGTGCAGCTCTGCGGCGCCGCGTGGCAGTGGCCCTGGCTCTGTGACGTCACCAGTCCGCCACAGTAGTCTGGCATCTGACCGCCGACGGTTCGCGTGAGGAGCCAGGCCGCCGGCAGGCTGCCGATGCGGGACAGGCCCGAGTCACGCCGCCGCTCGGGCTCGGGTTCGGGCAATAAGAACACCTGCATGCGGTACCACGGCAAACAAAGCCACTGCAAGCTGGAATACTCTCACGAAAGGCACTGCTTTAAGCCACATTTTCATTGATGCACGTCGCTGAATGGAGAAATATGTAGCGTAATCCTACGAGTAAGAGTGATCCCAAGAACGATCAAATTGAGAGTCTGAGAGGTTCCGTAGCGTATCTGGATGCTGGTGTTTCAGCACTGCTTTGCACGCTGCGTAGGCGTCTGCTGTGAACATGAGATGACAGATGAGGCACGTGGCTCGACTGCCCGCACCAGGGCTCGGCATGGGCCCCACATTGCCCTGGGGTGGGAGTGGGGGAAAGGCCGCGGACCTGGCCATGTGCACCACAGCTATGTCTGTATCCCTGCACTCACGGGATTGGGTGAAATACAGGGTCTAACCTGGCCAGATGCACCACGGTGCAGTAGACTCCCTCCCCCTGAAGCGGGGTGCGTGCTAGCCTGACCAGCTGCACCAGGGTGCAATAGACCCTGTCCCCCTGGAGTGGGGTGCGTGCTAACCTGGCCAGCTGCAACAGGGTGCAGCAAACCCCCTCCCCCTGGAGTGGGGTGCGTACAAACCCGGCCAACAGCACCAGGGTGCGGCAAACCCCCTCCCCCTGGAGTAGGGTGCATGCAAACCCGGCCAGCTGCACCAGGGTGCGGTAGACCCTCTCCCCCTGAAGTGGGGTGCGTGCTAACCTGGCCAGCTGCACCAGGGTGCGGTAGACCCCCTCCCCCTGAAGTGGGGTGCGTGCTAACCTGGCCAGCTGCACCAGGGTGCGGTAGACCCCCTCCCCCTGAAGTGGGGTGCGTGCTAACCTGGCCAGCTGCACGAGGGTGCGGTAGGGGTCGCCTGCCTGCCGGGCGTCCTCGGCCAGGGTGCAGAGCCGGTGCGGCAAGCAAGCCGGCTGGCCCTCCGACATCAGCTGCAGCAGGCGGTGGGCGAAGCCGGCCCCTCGCCGGTCCACCAGCGCCAGCAGGCCGACGTACCCTGGCATGTGACACGCGCGCAGGGTCAGCGGCGAGGCATGACACGTGAGGCTGCGGCTGTACGCCAGCCGATGGCGTGGCCGCTTGGCGCCACGTGGATATACCTGTCCCCATATGATGACCCGTCATCACCTTGAGGCACCGATCCTCACCCGGAGGGCGCCTCGGTCCCACCTCTTGACCCCCGCTTCCACCACCTAGCCTCTGCCTTTCTCCCTGGCCCTCCCCCCACCTGAGCTCTGCGCTCACCTGATCCCTGATATCACGTGATTTCCCGCTCTCACCCGCTGACCCCGCTGTCCTCACCCGCTGACCCCGCTGTCCTCACCCGCTGACCCCACTGTCCTCACCCGCTGACCCCGCTTGTCCTCACCCGCTGACCCCGCTGTCCTCGCCTGCTGACCCCGCTGTCTTCACCCGCTGACCCCGCTGTCCTCACCCGCTGACCCCACTGTCCTCATCTGCTGACCCCGCTGTGCTCACCTGACGCCTCCCTGCCGCCGGTGTTGGTGGCCGATGTCTGCGCCTGGTTGACGGCGTACGCCACGAGGGCCCCGAGCGCCGCGAAGCCGGCCAGCGCGCCCACAATGCCGGCGAAACAGTCGCAGCTGCTGGCGCCGCCGCCGCCGTACCCTGCCGCGCAGCGCGGGGCCAAGGTCATGCTAGGCCACCAGATCAGACCACAAGACGACAGGGTATCCATCATCGCAAGGTCATGTCAGGTTGCAGGAACGAGGTCACAAGGTCAGGTCAGATCGCAAGATAGGATCACGAGGTGACATCGTGACACAAGGGTCAGGTCCCCCACAGCCGGAAGCGGCCGTTCCTCACCGTCGCGCGCCTCCGGTGGGTGGCTGGCGGTGCCGCAGAGAGCTCGGACCGTGCCGTCGGCCAGCGGGCCGGCGCCGGCGACGGCTGCCAGCGCCCGCTGTAGCACGGCCGGCATCGGCGGCCAGCCAAACCGCGGCGGTGCCTCGCGCGGGGTTGTCGGGGTGGTCGGGGTGGTCGGTGCTGGCGTGGTTGCCGTGTTCTGCGCCATTTGGACCAGGACGAAGGCGCCGAGTCCGGTGAGCGCCGCTCCCCCGCTCAACAGGCCCAGCACGTCGTACTGCGTGCACTCGCAAGACGGGGCATAGCCATAGCCGTAGCTCACACCGCCGCCGCCGCTGGCGGCCATCATCTCGCCAAAGTCGCCGCGTTCGATATGGACATTGCCCCAGGCGCCCGGCTGAGGGTTGTAGGTGGCGCTCCAGTCGCGCCACGGCAGCGCCCAGCTCTGGCGGCGAATGAGGCCCGTCGGCTTGTCACCGCCGCTGTGAGTGGCGCTGGTGCCGGGCGGGGCCGCGTCGTGCCGCCGAGGTCCCACCGGCCGTCGCTGGTCGCTCACGAGCCCCCTGTAACGCCCGTCTCCGCGGCGACGGTTCGTCGGGCTCTTAGCGTTGTCATAAACGGTGTCCCAGCGGCTCGAGCCGCCCGGCGCGCCGCCCTCGTCTTCCGAGGGCACGGGCAGGCTGTGACCCCCGTCAGCGGGCCGTTCCGCCGGGCGCCTCTCGTCTCCCGATGAGACGGATAGGTTGTGGGCCCCGCCAGTGGGCCGTGCCGGTCGCAGCCAGGCCTCGGTCAGGTCGGAGATGGCGAGGATCTGGTCAGGACGCATGTAAGCCATGTCCACTGCCCGACTCCTGTTGGAGACGCCGTCCTCAGCCTCGGTGTGGTTGAAGGCAGCCTGCCGAGGTCCGGCCCGGTCAGCGGAAGGCGCAGCCGAGCCGGCAGCCGCGGTGGCCGGTCTCTCAGCCGATGCGGCCGGTCTTCCAACGGGGTCGGTCGGTCTCCCATCTAAGGCAGCCGGTCTCCCAGCCAAGGCGGTCGGTCTCCCAACCGAGGGGGTCGGTCTCCCAGCCGAGGTGGTTGGTCTCCCGGCCGAGACGGTCGGTCTCCCGGCCGTGGCGGTCGGTCTCCCACCCGAGGCGGTTGGTCTCCCAACCGAGGCGGTCGGTCTCCCAGCCGTCTTCTGACGGTCACCCCGTCTGGGAGTGGTGGCTCGCTCCCTGGAGCTGGGACTGGGGACCCGTCCCGCCGGAGAGCCGACGCTGGCGGGGCCACCCTCTGCCTTGGAGGCTGGGACGGCACTTGCAGCCTTATGCAGCCTCGTTATTCTAGGAATGCTGGCGGAGACTGGCTTTCGACCAACGGGAGCTTCAGTGGTCTTGGCTTCTTGGCCCGACGGTTTTTCAGCGATATTTTTCCCCACCGTATCGTTGGTCTCAACCGGTTTGAGATATGGGCTCTGGACGAGCCTGGCGGTCAACGAGCCACGAGTCGCTGAGGGTCCCCCGTGCTGCGATGTGGAGTTCAGGAGGGAGTCATCTGGCTTCTGGACGAGCTCGCTCGTCGACCGGGTATTATTGGGCAAAAGCTCACCAGTTGGAGCG